TAAAATTTATTTTATTTTTAAAATTAAAAAAATATAATGGAAACCGTACCGGATGTTCCGGTAAAATGTTTTCTTTTTTTTTTTAAATCTTTTCAGCTTAAACCTTTTTTATTAAACTTTTACGCAACAGCAAAAAAAAATTTTACCTAAAAACTTTTTTTTTTTTTTTTTTTAAAATGTCAATAAAATTAAATATTTATTAACTCCCGCGAAAAAAAAAATTTTTTTCTTTTTTTTCATTTATGTGTGACATTAATAATAATAATAATAATAATAATATTATTATTATTATTATTATTATTATTATTATTATTATTATTATTATTATTATTATTATTATTATTACTTTTTAAAACAAGAAAGGAAAAAAAACAACAACTTGCCGCAAAAACCTTGAAAGGAACTTAAAAAAAAAACTTTAAAAGTTTGATACGAGATTATTTATTTAGAAAAAAAAAAAAAATTATGGCGCCATTTTTTTTTAAAAAAAAAAGGTTTCTGAAAGAGCTTTTTGATATATGACGTCACAACTACGATTCAAAATGTTAAATCACATACTTGATCGATAATATGTATGTATATGCGTAATTATTTTTTTTTCCAACAAAAGAAAAAGAAAAAAAATAAAATAAATAAATAGGAAAAAAGTGAAAGAAGAAAAAAAAACGAATAAAAAAGAAAAAGAAAATGCAAAAAAAAAAGAAATTAATGACGTAATCTCACGCGATTTGACTTAACACCCTTTAAACGCATTAAATTCATTAAAATTTATATGAAAAATTTTGGTGAGAGGGAAAAAAAAGAGGTTGAAGGAAAGTGATTTGTCGATCAGATAAATAATAATAATAATAATAATAAGTAAAACTGTAGCGAAAAACAACAACAGTAGCAACAACAACAACAATTTTCCAGTTAAGTTAAAGAAGGAAACGAATAAATAAAGAGCTTAACTGAAAAAAAAAATCCGGAAAATTTTAAAATTGGGAAAGGAGGTGAAAGAAAGCGGAAGCGGAAGCGGAAGAAAAAGGAAAAGGAAAGAGAAAAAAACTGTTGACATTTTTTTTTTCCGAAGCAAAAAAAAAAAAAAGAAATTGATCGAGAGGACAAGTTTATTTACAAAAATTATTTTCAACAAACTTAAATATTCAGCTCACAAATTTTAAAACAATCGATCCATTTTATATTGACACAATTTTCAAAGAGTTTAAGTTTTTTAAATGAGAGAAAAATGAAGAGAGAGAGAGAGAGAGAGAGAGAGAGAGAGTGAGAATGAGAGAGAAAGAGAAAGAGAGGTAAAATGGAAGAAAAAAAAATGAAAATGAGAAAATAATTTATAAAATGTTTATTTATCAAA